TGAAGCCTTTTGGTTAACCCTTTATTTACCCAGCCAAACAAAATTAAGCCTAAGGATCTGTACCTGCATTAGTACACATTCTCTTCCTGTTATGCTTGCTTCCCCTCAACCCCACTGCAGCCCTGTTGTTATTTTTTGTTGCCCATGGTACTACTGCAAGCGCCAAGCACATGGATGGCACTCTATTTCAGTAAACCGATCAATGAACAAATAACCTCATGCCCTGCCGCTCTCTGAACTAGGTCTTTTGCAGGTAGTCCAAGGCAGCATAATGCATGCAGCATAATGAGGTGGTAGAATCCTGAGGCAGAAGGAAAGGTTGCACCATTTTACATTTCTGTTTGTGTGTGTCAATTTTTAAAAACATTTTCCCAATATAAAAATTTCTGGACGCACACAAAATTAAAGGTTGTAACCTCACCCTTTGCTTTCTGTGTTGGTTTCTCACAGAAAGGAATAACTAACGTAGAGAAACTCTGAACAAAGCAGTCCTGCACACACAGTCTGAAGTGCGGCAGCCTGTTATCACCTCAGTATGTCTTAATTCATGCAGCCAAATGAGGTGGGAGAATTCTGAGGTGGCAAAATAGGCTGAGGACACTTCAGACTGGGGGAAATCACACTTTTAATGTTCCCCATGGAAAAAAAAGTCGCCACACATTAAAAAAATAGCATATAAGAGAGAAAGTTTGTAGCCTATTCATTTGGATACCATGTCCACTTAGAGTTAAGAATTAAACTAGGGAAATTCTAAAAATGTAATCCTGTCCCTGCAGTCTGAAGTGATACCATCCATTCTACCACAATCCTTCTAAGCCAAGTATAGACCACAGGTTAACTTGAATGGAAGTAGTGCATTCATTAGTGTGTTCAATTTAGGCCCCGGTCACATGGGCCAGATAACGTGGGGGGGGGGATGCGTGGCTGTTCACCCCGGAGCAAAATAAAGGGCGGTAGCCTGATCACATGGTCCCCCGAGTCTTCATGCTTAGACTGTTAGCTGGTGATCACACGGCGATGCTGGAGCATGGCAAAGAAGTGGCGCGGCAAGCATTTCATGTTTGTGTGCATGTGCAGTTCCGCAGAGCAGCACTGATTTCAGTTATGTGTTTGTGCGCATGCACTTACGGAAAACATCCGGTTTGCGACGGGACGTGGATGGGCGCCAGATGTCATGGGATACTAGCATTCCCGCGATCAGACGGCCGCCCCTGCCCTGCGTTTTCCGGACACTAGTGATCTTTCCAAGGTAATTTTTTACTGCGCATCTTTGGCGGGATGCCACGGGTTGGCCACGGGTGCGCTACACTTCCCAGATGTTGTGGTGTGATCGCGCCCCAAAAATCTGCCTGACATTCGTGCCTTTAGCACGGCAAATCCTCCGTGTGACTGGGGCCATAATAGCACAATGTTTCTCATGGCATTCAGTTTAAATTGATTTCTTGCTGTCAGGAAGACTGTACTTTGGCCAAACTACTGACTTCTTACAACCAATGTTCCCTCTAAGCTGTGGAGTCTGGTGAGCAAAAATTCTACTTTGTGAGCTACTGGCACTAAAGTTGTGAGTGAGCGACTTGGCTGCCGCATAACTTAGTTGGCTCTGGAGCCATCCTTCCTGAGCTAAGACAACAAATGTGTGAGCTGGAGGCTAAAAAACCGTGAGCTAGCTCACACTAACTCAGCTTAGAGGGAACACTGCTTACAACCTACTTTAAAAAAAGAGGGAGGGAATGGTCAAATTACACTGCTAAAGTTGCAAAGAGATGAAAACTCTTAACCTACTTGAAGGAGAAGCGCAGGAAGGTGTGGAAGTCTGAGGTGGTCCCCAGCCTTTCATGTTATAAGCAGAGACTCGGACATAATTATTTCGGCCCTGTAATAAAAAAGAAAAATAGAAAAGCCCAATTTTGCAAACATGCAATATCTTGAAGTTAGACAACTAACTATTGGTAACAGTGAATCGGATGCAGTGGTGCAGCTTGTTTGGAATGGTGATAGACCATGGGAGCTCAAGGTGGGTCATCCCCTATACCCATCGGGGGATTAGCAGCCCAGGGGATTGGCACATTAAATAGCAGTGAAGGCAAGCAAGACTGAACAGAGTTCGGGCAAAGAAGAAAAATGGCACAGAGAAGGAACAACTGCCATGGAACAAAAGGGCATGAAGCAGCATTGAAACAGCCCCAACAGAGAATCAGAGAGTTGGAAGGAGACTTATAAACCATCTACTGCAACCCCATCTTAGTGCAGGAAATCAGTGCAGGGGAGGGTCCATGGAAATTGGACCCATCGCTGAATGGATTTTACTCTTAGGAAGTTTCCCCTCACATTCAGTCAATGTCTACCCTCTTGTGTAGTCCATTAGACCTAGTCTTTTCCTTTGAAGAGAACAAAACTTTGCTGACCCCCATGTGACAACCTTCAGGTATCAATCAAGTGTTGGGGAAATGGGCAAGGCCAAAACAGCATTCCATGAACATTACTTCTAGTGGTATAACTGGAAGTGATGTCACTCCAGGATGTCATTTTAGTAGGTCTCTCACCCTGCCTGTCTCCCAGGGTTTGCATAACTTGGCTAGCAACCCTATCCTCATAGGACTTGTTTTCCAGACTTTCAGTCTATGTTTGTAATGAGTGCTTAAAAAATCCTAACACTGGAGGCTGCTTTTTAGCACTCAGATAAATTAACATGAATAAATAGCTCTGGATTTGTCCTAATATAGATGAATTTACACCTTGGATTAAAACACAAAACAAAACAAAAAAACCTCCCAGCTATACAAACCTGAACAGCTACCATGTGGAGCAGTTTATCCCGAACAAATGAGGAAGCAGAAGGAATGAATCACCAGGGATAAGAAGTCCAAATTAATCTTATGTGTATTAGAAGGAAGTTTGAATCACAGGCAGTGTTCCCTCTAAGCTGAGTTAGTGTGAGCTAGCTCACAATTTTTTAGCCTCCGGCTCACACATTTTTGTCCTAGCTCAGGAAGGATGGCTCCAGAGCAAACTAATTTATGCAGTACCCAAGGTGCTCACTCACAACTTTAATGCCAGTAGCTCACAAAGTAGAATTTTTGCTCACAAGACTCCACAGCTTAGAGGGAGCATTGATCACAGGTTATATTTGTGCTTTTCATGACACTTGGTAACTGCTTGGGTCCTACGTAGTGTAAGTGCCGCACAGCTGCATAAATGGTACTTTCCCACCTTCTCATTTATGTCTCCCACAATATTATGCTTGCCATTAATTTCTGGACACCCAGGAATATTATTGGGGTCAGAGAAGTTGGTTACAGTGAGAAGGGCGGAATTGCCCTTCCCCTATTTTGCAAGTGAATTACTGAAGTTTTGCATGTAACTGGCCTCCTATGCAGTGCTTCTGAAATAGGTCTGGCTACCCTCGCAGTTCTTGGATATTGCAATCTTTAGCTTTCGAGCCTTCATGCACATTACATTTCTTGAATTATTACCTTGTTTTTATTTGCACAATATATATTTGCAGCATTTGACTTGTTATCCTTAGTGGGAGGGGCCTTCTGTCCCAGTCTGTTACCCTTGCACATATATGCATTACTAAAACAGTGCAGAAATGCAATGTATGATTCAACTTACAGCTCTATCAAGATTCTTTTTGTGTGGTATTTTAATAGTACAATATATGATCACATCAATATAGGCTTGCCAGCCCCCAGGTCCAGGCAGGGGCATCCTCCAATTTCAGGGGCTTCTCACTGCCGTGGACCAGCTGGCTGGTGGGGGAAACCCTGCCCCTAAACAGGGATGTCACCGTACAACGTCCCCAATGCAATGTCATCACCTGGAAGTGATGTCATCGTGTCAGGGACATCATGCAGGGGACGCTCTGGTATTTAGGCTTGAGGGTGAAAAAAACCATAGAATTTTGTCCCCTGTTGGACGTCCCCAATGTGATGACATCACTTCTGGGTGACATCATGGCATCAAGGATGCCCCGTGACACCCCCGACCACCCCCCAAATCCTCCCACCAGAGCAATGAGGCAACCTGGCAACCCTACATCAACATCGCCCCCCCCTGCAATTTTATCAATGCAGCTGGCTCTAAGGATCTAAAAGGTTCAGCAAACTTTTCCAACATATTTTGGAAATAAGAAGCAGAACAAGCAGAGTTTTCTCAATGTATCAGTTCTGCGCTTTGAAAATAAGGCCAGGTAATTCAGAACTCTAGAATCCATGGAGCAGTGCAGCTGAGGAGAACTTTGGAAGCATCTTTAATATGGAACAATTTCTAGCCTGCCCTTTTTCATCTTCAGGCCTGTGGAAGACTCCATCTAAAAATGACCCTTTTCAAACTGCCTTTGTATTCCATGTTAGTAACCAGCTGCTAATGGAATTTATTTACCCTTCCCAAACCTTTCCTTCACCAGGCTCCACTCCTAAATCTCCAGGAATTTCCTATCTCAGCGTTGGCAACCTTAGATTCAGCCCAACATGATTATTCTAAGAACTTTTTTAAAAATATGAGACCGCCTAAAGAGAAAATGTTAATTCTAAAGCTCATTTTGAAAAGACCTAAAAAAACACCCAAATCATAATCTTGAAGAAAAATATTAAAGCAATTATAGTAACACCTTAATCATAATTCTACTTGGAAATATGTGCCATTAGAATTTGTGAGACTTACTTAGATTCCAGGCGGAAGGATTAAATTGCTAAATGAAATACTTTACACCCTATTTTTTTAACACTCCTAAATCTAACCTTACCCATAATTTAAATTAGGAGATTACTTTTTTAAAAAAAATCTAGCTAGGGGACTTTGCTGGGGGATTTTTCCCCCCTTAAAATCATTTCAGCTAATCATTGTGCATAGTTTGAATAAGGCTTGCTTTTTGCTGTTATTGACAAAACCTGCTTTGATCAGTTTCTGGAGGGCCATCAAAAGCAAAAGCAAGGTGGCATAAAAGGGAACTTTACTAATAACCCATTGATTGTCTATCATCCATTCCTGCAAAAATACACCTCTTTCCTTTACTGCAGCCAGCCACTTGTGTTTCCCTAATGAAGTACTGGAGTCAGAATTAAATTTGATTCCAGGGGCACCTTTAAGACCAACCAAGTTTTATTCAAGGTATAAGCTTTCATGTGCGCACACACTTCTTCAGATACAAAGTGTACCTTGAATAAAACTTGGTTGGTCTTAAAGGTGCCACAGGACTCAAGCTTTGTTCTGCTGCTTCAGACCAACATGGCTACCCACCTAAATCTATCTTCACGGAGACAGAATTGTTATTTTAGCCATTAGACATGGAGACAGGATTGGATCTCTCCAAAGCCTTTGATCTGTCCTAAAGATTAGACCATGATCTATGGGACAGCGGCTTTTGTTCTACTCTTTTTTTTTTACCCACCCCCATCTCCCCTACTAACATAAAGACTTATAAAACAACCACAATATTGCCTGCCTATTCCTTTGTGATTTTTAGATCCTGTTTGCCAGATATAATGTGCTTAATGACAGACAGTTCTTGCTAGCGGAATGGCACTCAGCCGCTCTCCTCCAGCAGCTGAAATTCAATGGTAGAGAGTTCGGAGACAGTCTCAACAAATGACTTCACATTTACCATCATTAGGCCGGTGATAGTGCACCTCAAAGACTGAAGATTATCCATGATGATTTCCCCTGCCAAAGGAGAAAAGTCTTCCAAACTACTCCACTCCACTAAAAAACAAATCAAACAAGGGAAGGTTAGTCAGATATTGCTGGCAGATAAAAGCATGTATGCATTTTCCTGTTCCCTTCCCCATCTCCTCTCCTGTATTTTCTCTTGTGTACAGATGAAACAAGACACTTTATTGTTTCAGGATCATTGTTTGTCCTGTGCCTACATGTCAATAGAAGAAGATTGTCATAAATAAGTGAAGAAACATGGTTTAAGCAATTTACAGTAACAAAGAAACAATATGAAAGAAAGGCAATGCAGACATATTACTCTTTTCTACTGCTACAGACTGACTAACATGGCTACCCATCTTGATCTATATAGATCTATGGATCTTTAGCTAAGATAGAAACTGGCAATCAAGCCCTGCACACAGGATTTCCTGGCATTTTAAAATACTAAAAGAATAGTGTGTGTATGTGTGTGCACTTGTGTGAGGGGGGTAAATTTGGAATAAGGCATGGAAGAAGAGAGTTAACCCTTTCTTTGCACCACCTTCCCAGCCTCAACACCCCACCCCCTTTTGTTGTTTGCCCAGGATGCAGCTTTGCGAATGACAGGAGTACTCCGTCCATGAATGTTAGCTGCATAATGTGTCTTTTGTAGGACCGGCAAAAAGCATCCATACAAGAAGGCTGTCCCCCTTTTTGGAAGACTTCATGCAAGGAGAAGCGGGCTTATAATTCTAGAAACTCCTGTTGGGGCTTGACTTTTAAAACACTGATGCAAAATTGTTTGGTAGTTAGGAATCTGTATGTATTGAATGTTATTACTTATTGAATGTAATGAATATTTATACCTGACTAGGATGAAATAATGATACACTATGCACTTTACTAAATGATGACCATAAATAGAACACATTAGTTTGCTAAAAGGTTTTTGCAGTGTATATTTATTTGTTACTAGACAGGACCAGATTAAGGCATGCTGGAAAACCTAAACCATATCAAGTTTAAGATGCCCCAAACCATTACCAATAGCCTCCCTCCCAATGTGTATTATTATAACTTTGGAAATGTAGTATTTTCTTAATTTAGAGGCCCCCCAAATTCATTCATTTGTGTGAAAATTCAGCTCTTTGTTAGACCCATGATGGAGAAATACAGATACCCATATATTTCCCAGTGGGGCTAACAGAAACTTTTAAAAAGGAGATGAGACAACTGAGACCAGAAAAACTTGTGTGTGCACTTTGGGGGGGGGGGATGATACAAACCCTCATCACCCCTGTATAAGGGCTGCCACAAAGATATTGGTTCTCCTACAATTTGGGCCTGGAAAGGTAAAGATTTGATGTTGCTTACAAGTTTCAATTTGTCTGTGTGAGTACAAAATAACATTGTTAAGAGAAATTATCTCAAATCCTCTATTTCCTACCTGATATCCAACAATCTGTCCCCCCACCCTTTTCCCCCTAAAAAGGCATTTGGAGTCTATTTCTAATCAATTTCTTTTTGATCAAAGAGAAATTCTCAGAGAAGAAGGGCTGGAAGGGAGGTTCTGCAAATGATACAGAATTTTCCTTTGTAGGTGCTCAGAGGCAGGCAACGTGTAACATAAAACAACTGTAAGGGCTGAAACTGCAAAAGAGTGCATGGATTTCTCTTCAAAGAGAAACAAGAGATAAATCCCTCTTGGAAGGGGAGTAAAAAAGTGAATTTCGGAAAAAGAAATCCCCCTCCCCATACAATGCAAGTATAAAATTCTTGAACAATCTCCTTCCCTCCCTGAACACATAAAAAGCAAACACAAAGGAACTCACTGGATTCAAAATGGAGTTGGGTGTATTTATAAAGGATATTTATAGATAGCCTATTCAACAGAAGGAGATTTTCACCTTTCCTCTGAGACCTTGTAGAGTACCAGATAGCTCAACAGAGGATGTTAACACATGCTATCCTTTCATCTAATATGCCAACAATTTGAAGGAACTAGGGAACCCTCCAATGGCTCCTGTTGTTTGGGACCCCCTCCACCTGAACCTGTTCAGCAGTCTCTCTTGTCTTTCCAAGTGGGAATGAAATATACTTTCTGAGACCAGGTTAAGTACATTATTCTTGTTACTAGGAATAATGCTCATTGTGGATATAAATACAACGAGCTCTAGAAAGAGGCTCTGGGTAGGTGCCCTGGCCTTGGGCACTCAGTGTCAAATTGCTGTGGTGACCTCAGCAAGGTATAATGACACAGAGCTTACCATTTTCTCCAGGGGAACTGATCTCTGCCATCTGAAGAGCAGTTGTAATTCTGAGTGATCTCCAGCCCTCCCTTGCAGATTGGCAACAATGGTTCCTCAGAAGGAAATGGTTGAAACTAATAATGTAGTTGCAAAATAGATCAGTTATGAAATTTGAAATTTAAAATGTTGAATATAAAAGTGCCCTAACAGAAGTAAGGACCATTGTACTTTATAGATAATGTCTTAAAAAATATAATGAAGAGGATGTTGGGGAGAAAATTTTTGTGTTTTATGCATTCTGTCATTTATATTTATCCTTGATACATACAATTATGTTATATAATCCCTACTCTCCTTTTTGTATCTCCTCTGTACTATTACTTTGTTTTCTAAAATTTTATATAAAAAACCCTGAGATGCACTGACACCAGTTGCATCTCTGTGGAGATATATATACACAGTACACACAATGGCACCGTCAAAGAAGAGATTAAGGAATACTCTGATTTATGAGCTACCATCCCCTAAACAATTAAGACTGGGGGTCACCCGGGACTTCCGGTACGGCGTCGCGCCGGGCGAGCGCGTCTTGCGCCTCGCCGAGACCCTTCGTGGGTTCTAGGAGCCCCCCGGCTTACCGGGTGGGCTTCTCCTAACCCTCTTGGAGGGAGGGTTAGCAGCATAGGGCTTGTGTCGGCCCCACCCCGATTTCGGCACTCGGGGGGGTGTCCGACATTGCCCTGAAGCAGGACTCCGGAGCGGAGGAGGCATGGTTCATGCCTCCACAAGCGACGACCATCCAACTTTTAACGTGGTGCACTGGTGTTTTTCGTATTAAGGATTATTTCGCAACACATTGAGGACTTTGTTTGGTGAATACTCATATTCAACGGAGCTCTACTCTCCCGTGGTTTTGCAGCTACCCCTATTTGTGTAATAAAAGCGGCCGAAAAGCGTCTATGGGAACCGAATGAAGAAGAGTTGAAGGAGGGTAAGAGACACTTATTTGCTGGAAATACTATTATATTGGTCTGTTAACAACGGTCAAGATATAAGCAGAAATGGCATTAGCTGAGTAAAGAAACTCAAGGACAAAATGGCGGCGGCGTCTATTTGCGAGAGGGTTCGCAAGAGGGTAATAGCGGAGCTCAAATCGGAACGCTTTAAGGAGAGACTAAGAGAAGAATTAGATAAAACTCTCTCGCTGGCGTGGGCCAAGCTTTTTGAAAATACCCAGAGTGTAAGTACAGAGGATAAGGAGAATGAACAACAAGTACAACAAACACGAACGATACAAATTTATAATGACGGGCAGGAATGTAAACTAGAAGCACAGATCTATGTGCAAGATCAAAATACAAAAGGGAAAATAAAAGAAGTGGTTTTGCCTAAAAGTACTCTGAGAACAATGAAAAAGGAACAAAAAGGAGGTACCGAAAAACGGTGGCTTAAATTTCCCTGCAGAAAAAAGAACTCAGCAAGGAGCAAGAAAGTAAACAAAGACTTTAAAAAAGTTGGAAGATCTATACAACGGAATGTGGGACTTACCAAATATGAGAAAATCCTTCCAGACAGTACACCAAAGGAGTACAAAAATTTAAGACATGTCCAAGAAAATGAAGAAAATCGAATTCAAAAAGAGATGGAATATAGGCTTGATGTAGACAATGTAGATGATAATATGATTGTTGGCAGTATGGTCCGGAAGTGAAAAAGGTTGCAGCGGGCTGTTAAATAAGTAGAAGGGGTCATGAAAATTAGGTGCATGAATAGGAATGCAAAGAAGTGACAGGATGAAATTTATAGATGATTGAGTGGTAATAAATGTCAGTTGACGGGGAATTCTTTTAATGTGCAAGTAACACAGATTTAGGTTGAAAGCAAAATAATGAATTTAATTGTATATTGTCTGAATGAATTATATTTGGGGGCATGGAGTTGCTTCTGATTGAGCACAATATAGATGTAATTAAATTAAAACTTGTAAGAACAGTTGGGAAATGATTTGAGGTATCTCTCCAAGTCTCCAGATGAGGGTCTGTGATGTAAGTTAAATAACAGAGCCAATGGATGAATGTTTCAATTGACCAGTATTTTCCAGTATATATTGTACTTGAATCCAGATTAAACAGATTAAGTGAGTAAGATCTTAGGGGCTGGATGGAAGTAATTATAAGTCTGAGTTAATGATTAAAGGAAGGTTACTAGATATTTAGAGGAAATTATGAGATTGTTAAATCAAAATAGGTGATCAATGTGATAGCGGAAGAAGATAGTAAGATACGGTGTAACTGGTGTAACTGGTGGTGGTGGTATATGTTTGTTATTAGATGTTGCGTTTAAGAGTTGTTTATTTTGTTTGATGTTGCTGTTTATGTGTATTTATTTGTACCTCACTGACGGTGAGTTAATGGGGGTGTCTGTTTCAGTATAGTGTTGAAAAATAATAAAAAATTATTTAAAAAAAACAACAACCTCTGCTTCTCGCTTGCCTTGAAAGCCCCTTGCTGGGATTGCCATAAATTGGCTGTGACTTGACGGCACTTCACACACACTCCAGCTGCCTTCAGCTGCTTTTTTGATATAGATATTTCAGTGTGTACCCCCCCCCCCAATTCTAGTTGTTTTGGTTTATTACTCTCCTCCTGCTTTTTGACAAAGCTTTTTGTTTATATATATTGTACTTTGGTCACATTATGAGAAGACAGGAGTCATTGGAAAAGACAATAGTGCCAGGAAAAATTGAAGGCAGGAAGACCCAACATGAGATGGATTAACTCAACAAAGGAAGCCACGGCCCTCAGTTTGCAAGAGCTA